AGTAAATCAGTAAATTACTAAATTTGCCGTTCTTGTTGATGTACTTTGATTCCAACGGATTCCAACGAACAATAAAAGGCGATAAAACGATGATTTTACATGTATACTTTATAAAAAATGGTGGCGTGCCGCGATAAACACATATCGCAGCCCGCCACAAGTTTTTTCCTGTTTTTGCGCACTGCGAAAAAACGGCGATGGACCTGGCTCCCTTTCTTGGATTGTTGGGCCAATGCTGGCTCCCTTTCTTGGATTGCTGGCTCCCTTTCTTGGACTTTCCCAACTTGGGACCTCTGCTTTCTACCGCATAGTGCCGCTGCTAAGACGCGAAGCAGACGTTGTCAATGTCAAGCTGCACCAACAGCTTGTGACCGAGGAACAAGTAATCAGGGACCAACGCCGTCACACAAAACACGTAGAAGGAATGCTGCACTACTACTGGGAGAAGTATGCAGCTATGGAAATGACTGCCTCACAGCTACTTAAGGCTTGTAGTGCAATATATGGGCCATCGAATGATTAAGTCTGGATGTCAGTAGTTAGTGCACGTGGCTGACCATGCATGCATACATGTAGCACACTGTTTATTTTACGTGTATGTCTCATTCTCTCTAACTCTCTATCCAATTCGCTCCCCACCTCTCTCTCTCTCTCTCTTTTCTCTATTTTGCTAGCTCTTGCTCCTTCCATAGGTCTTTCTCCCTCTCATATCTCTCTTGCTATCTTACAAATTTGTTACCCAATGTTTGCAATCGATATTGTTGTCTACAATGCATTCTTCTGTCTATTTTTGTATGTGTATGTTATGTATAAATAGAAATTTGGAAGTCAAGCAAAATATCTCTCTCGTTTTACTATTGTCAATGATGTCACAGTGTGAGCACTGTCAAACCTCAAGTATAGAGGCGACACAGCAAATTTAAAATTGCCAGTGACCATCACGAGTTAGTACTCTGAAAATAATGAAAGTTTAGGGGTAGAGCTCAAATTTCAGGGACAAAGCTCATATATGGGACGAACCACCATCGATATTCGTTTTCTCCTAAATTAACACAAAAATTGCGCTCCACTATCCATCTAGGTGCATCTAGATGTTCCTGAGAGTTTTAAGTGTAGATTGCATGAATTGGTTAATTTTCACAGTGGTAAAAATGTATCAAAGTTTTGGAATTGTAATAGGATAATCATAGAACTGTAAAACCATAGTGATTTCACTGGTTATGGAATTATAACTATAGAAACAGTAAACCCTCTTATTCTTGGTGGCTTTTCGATGAATATTAAACTGTGGATAGTAGACTCTAGGATTTTACTGCATACAACTGTACTTACTGTATAACAAATCGTCTATACACCCACGTATTTGTTACCAGATACCTAATTTAATTGTTATAAATAATTACACATCAATGCTTATGAAATTTGAACGGCGCCATGACACCCGCGACCGTGCTGCCACCCTAAAAAAGTTGCGCATTTGACATTTATTTTGCACGTTGCAGACCGAGGGCTAATCACAAAAGTGCAATATATTCATACCCAGGGTTCGACACTAACGCTAGTCCGAGACTAGTAAAAAATCAGAAGGACTAGTAGATTCCCATAGCAGTTAGTCCGGCGGGACTAGTTATATTTTCCCCGTCCCTCACCGTCCCAATTTCCCATCGATTTTACCGGCGGCAGCGTCTCTCATCCAAGATCCAAAGAGCTATATATAACTCGTCCCCATTAACAAGTTTTCCCTGTTAGTCCAAGTAGAGTAGACGCTAGCACGCTCTAAGCATGCTGCTAGACCCTACGGCAGTACAAACATTGTTAAACAATGGGGCCACGAACCCAGTCTACCAAGCTTGACAGTAGCTGTTGACATAGAACAAACGGTCTGATTGTAAAAATGACGCAACTAATCAGTTATAGGCTCTCATAGGGAGGTATGTACATCGCAACCACATCGCATGCGTGTGTTACTTGAAGCAGTCCGTACAAATAGTAGTGAAGCTAATAATAGGTACATCCTTATCCAATAGTATAATACTAACATCAAGGTTATTATGTGAAAGTATTTGGACGGCGCTCCCCTCCACCTCCCAAACGTAAATCGCAGGAGGAGAAATTAGATGGCCAGCGTGTCTATGATAAGACGAAAAGGATGCGTGCGTTTGCACACGCACGCACACACGTGTGCGTACCCACGCACGCGCGCACGTGTACGTGCACACGCACCCACGCGTACGTGCCCTCGTACGCACGCACGTGTACATGCACACGCACGCAGTCACGTGTACGTGCACACGCACGTACACACACACACGCACGCACATGTACGATGCATACGCACGCACGGGTACGTGCACAACCTGCACACACACACACACACGTGTACGTGTCTATGCACGCACGCACGTGTACGTGCACACGCACGCACGCACACACGTGTACGTGCCCACGCACGCACGTGTACGTGCACACGCACGCACGCCCGCACGTGTACGTGCACACGCACCCACACACGTGTACGTGCCTATGCACGCACGCACGTGTACGTGCACACGCACGCACGCACACACGTGTACGTGCACATGCACGCACGCACGTGTACGTGCACGCGTACGAGCACACGCACGCACACACGTGTACGTGCACATGCGTTTACGTGCGCACGCACGCACGCACGTGTACGTGTACGTGCAGATCAGCTTTCCTCCCAGATGTTTTTTCACCTCTACTTTGCGACTCTGATTTACGGTTTTATCCATTTACGGGTTTCCCTTCGTAACTAGACGCCATTGTTTATTAGTGATACCGGACAGTGCACGCGTGTTGTGGGGTTTGCATTTGCGTTGTGGAG